AGACATATACATTTATATTTGATATTATCCCATTAACAGATCGTAAAATTAAGGCAAGAATATCAAGACCTGTCCAAGGCAAAGTTTAAATCAGTAGAATCTGGAAATAGATTCAACACAAACATACACACCTACAAAAAAGCACAGGCATATAAATATATAGGGTAACATGGTTTTTCTATAGTGTGAGACTTAGAGGCTCAGTGACAGCATATGAACTAAAAAACTGTACATCAATTTCTATATGGAAAGTATCCCAATCACTATATTGATAGGCAGGGGAAAGTATTTTGAAATGTACACAGAACATTCTATCATCTGAGGAGTAATAATAACAATTTCTGTGTTATAATGAATTTTTAAGTTGAATTTCCTACACATTCCATTGCACAAGTATATTCTATAATACTCAAAACCTAGAATGGTTAACAAAAAAGACTTCCAATGAAAAATCAAGAGAAACTTGGTGAAAGATATAATGTTTCTACACAAAAAGCTTTCAAAAGTTTTATATCAAGCTAATTCTATTGACTAAGTATGATAAGGAAATAGCACTGTGTTACACAGTATGGCAGAAGAGTGCTATTTTACTTTAGATGGTATAAATCACTCAACTAATTGGGCTAGTAACATAGTTAGTATATCATTTTATTTATCAAAACCAATAAAAAATTATCAGAATTTGGTTATATTTGAATCAAATGCCACTGTAAAGATAATATGACACTATAGATTCCGTAACAATACTATTATTTTCTAGTGTATCACTATTCCATAATGAAAATAATATAAAACAAGGATTTTATATCAAAATTGTAAAAGCACAGTTCACACCAGAAGTTAATATCACTGGGAAGTTAAATGATTAATACAAAATCAAATACATATTACAAATATTCTTTTGTTCTTCACTTGCCATGATGTAAACTGCAAGGATTTAACCTTTAAGGGTTAACCAGTTTAATCAATGTCAATGTCTGATCTTCTGAAGGCGATAAAGAACAGTCTGTCTAGTGATACCCAACAGAACATCACTTTGTCAAGCCACAAAGCGCCCAAAAGCTTGTCAAGTAAGTTACCAGAAACCTCTTTGTGGTTAGAACTCAGCTCCTTCCTGTTTGACCTATTATTTGATATTTGACCACTTGGTTGCAAGACACTTGCTCTTTCTAGCTGAAATGTCACTGGGGCATCTTGTCAGCTCCCCGACATCTCGGCCTGACATACAATTTTACTTTTGTGTGCTACAAGGCAGAAAATGCAGGGCAATGGCCTTGTTTTAAATTCTGTCAGCATCAAAGATGGGCGTCACTCTTGGGTCCTACCAACAACAAAAACAAAAAAGGAGTCTCTTTTGAAGGTCAAAACAGCCATTACCTTGAAGTTTTTCAGCTTATACTAAATATATTACCTTCTATACTGTGTGGGGGTCTGACTCGATGGCACATAACAACAACAACAACATACTGTGTGGGAACCGTCCTTATGAAATGCCTAAATATACCACAGAAATCCTCCCCGCACAATTGCTTTACTTTCTTATCAAATGCAGACTTGATAAAAGGATGAGTTTTCGGAGCCTGCAGGGACCAGATGCAGCAGTTAACTTAACTTGTTCAAATGGGCAAGTGGTATCATGTAGCTTTACAAGGAGCAACCTGACCTTCTCACATTGACCAGGAGTGACATTATTGTGCAGGAGGAGAAGCAGTCACATCATTTCTGTTTTGCACAACCTGCTTAAAGTTTGCAACTAAATGCTTGTCTTCAGTTGAGCTGACAAGAGAGAAGAGGGGGCTCAGTGAACCATGGCAGGGCTGCCATGAAATGACAGGAATCATTGGCATACATTTCAAATAGCTCTCTCAATCCTATTAAAGTATTGCAGTCCTGCTTTAAAATAGACAAGTATGAAACAACTTTGATAGATAGAGACTAAAATGGCTTATTGATTTTTTTAAGTCTGAGGGAAATTACCCAAAATGTGTCATTCTTTAACATTTAAAAATATGCTACATAAAAATGAGGAACTGTGATAATAAATAAAACTTACAGGGAGAAAAGGTTGGCTATTTAGTTATTCAAGGACTCATAGATACCCACCCACTTCAAGATTTAAACAATTATGTAAAAAACAAAAACCAAAGCCCTTGCCACTTGTGCTGAAACAAAATTCAACTAACAAGAAGATCCCCATTCAAAACAAGTTTAATTGTATTGTTAACTCTTCCTCCGTTCTTTATTTCATTAAGTCATAATCCAATCTGAGTTGGTCTTTTGGCATTAGAAGATATAGTCACTGGAGAGGAGTGAGAAGATGTCAGAACATGGGGCACAGTATTCACAAATGTCTCCTTTAAGAAAGTGTAAGTTGTATCAAGTTCAGCTTTCAGTGGCAAAAAATCCCCAACAACAACTGTGTCAGTAGGAAGGGTAGCTCTTGAAGGAATGGAGAGATTTGAATGGTCTCGTGATCCTGCCTGTGACATAAAGAGAGAAAAATATAATTATAGCCCTGAAACTCTATAAACAGAGCATAACAACAAAAACAGAAAAGGGGACTAATAATTATTATAGTATAAAATAAGGTTAACATTATCATTTAAGCAAGGAACTCTAGTGGTACAGTGGTTAAAGCTCTTGGCTGCTAACCGAAAGGTGAGTGGTTCTAACCCAACAGCCACTCCACAGGGGAAAGATGTGGCAGTCAGCTTCCATAAAGATTACACTGTTGGAAACACTATGGGATAGGTAGTTCTACTCTGTCCTATAGGGTCGCTATGAGTTGGAATTGACTCAATAGCAATGGGTTTGGTTTAGGATTTGATATGATTAACACTTAAATAATAAATTATTTTCCAAATGTGAGTGAATCATAAATATTTCAGGACAACAGAACTTTCCCTAAGCAATAAAACTTTTTATAAAGCATTTTATAAAGTTATTGCATATGAGTCAATACTAATCAGGCATTTTCACCTCTGCTTCAATCCACCAGTAATTTATAGAAACCAGTGATAACATTCATTCTACTATTCTATATAATATGCTATATATACTATATAATATGGAAGATCAAACTGCTCAGAAAGTGAACTACAGACATTTCTGTTTTAAAATCTACCAGCCTGAGTTATTCAATTTGCATAGCACACACACAAAAAATCAATCAATCCTAACAACCTCTAACAAGCAATATACTGAGACATAAGATACAAGTGAGATTAACTTTTTGCCCATACCTTTAAAAATAATAGCATCTCCCAACCTTGATAAAGATTGTTCTATTATAAGAATTTGGATATCATGAATCAAAATATGTGATTAAAACATGCAAACAATTTGCCATATATTTTAAAACATTACTGGTATCCAGAAAGTGCTGATCATCAAACTTAAATGCTACATACTCAAAAGTACTTGAGAACAGAATTAACATTTGGATGAAGATATACAGTCAGGCTTTAAGTAACACACTGATGATCAGTAGTTAACACTTAACATGGACAAAATCTTAGCAATGAAGCAGGCAAGTATTATGTTATGATATTTATGGAGAGTAGAAAAATAGTAACCAATTATATGTCGTCAGAATTATCCAGATTTCCAGCAAATGAATGCTACTGAGATAACAGTAACATTAGTCTAGTTATTAAGTATCTCTATTAAATACCATAGTCTGTCTCATAGGTTTTTTTTTTTTTTTTCTTTTCATCTTTTTGGTAGATTCTTTAACAGCTTGATGGCAAAACAGTCTGAAATATAGATCTGTGTGATTATGTTGTATTACAAATCATTTTTATATGTGAAAACAAAAGGGACACTATTGTTGGCTTTTAGTAAAATATTAGAAATTCCACTGTTGTACGTACTACCATTTTTGTGGACTTTTTTTAAAACATACAACCAGAGAATAATCAATAGCTGCATCCAACACCTAGTTCAGCAATTTTCTTTGATCTTGGTTCTTTTGATTTTGTAATACTCCACTGCAAGCCCATAGCTGATAGAAATCTCTTTTTATGCTAGAAGAGTTATAAAAAAAAAAAAAAAAAACGTAAAAGCCACCTGAATGGCTCTATGAAGGAGAGGGCTTTCAGACCCATGGAAAGAACAGAACTCCCAACTCACACACTGGGTTACTTACTGCAGAGAAGGTTTCACTTGCAGAACCTTAATACTGGGATAACGACACCAGTATTAACCAGACCTCAGCATATCTGTTCAGAACCTGAACAGAGTCTTCTCTACATCAGAGGCTGAAGGTATATATAGTCCTGCACTTTTACTGGTATTAGAACCTCCCTTTCTGATACCTTGGGCTCTGTGTGTTAATTAGTAGCATCATTAACTGTTACTGATTTTGCTGCTGTAAACACTGTATAGTGTCATCCTTCTTCTGTCAGACTCAGGGGTTAGGGGAATTCTGGAAGAGCAGGAAATGGTTGAGCCTTGTTCTTTTTTAAAAAATGATATTTTATTGTGTTTTAAGTGGAAGTTTATACAGCAAATTAGATTCCACTTTAACAATTTTTATGAAAATGCTCCATGCCCTTGGTTACAATTTTTACAATGTGTTAGCATTTCCATTCTGTTTTGTTTCCATTGATCTAATTTCCCTTCCCTTCCTTGCCTTCTCATCTTTGTGGGTAACTGTTGACCTTTTGGTCTCAAATAGTTGATTGTTTAAGGGAGCACATTACTCACAGGTGATACTGTTTGTTTCATAAGCCAATCTATTACATGGTTGAAAGGTGACCTACAAAAATAGTTTCAAATCCAAGTTCAGAGGTTATCTTAGAGTGACAGACAAGGGGGTTCCTGTAGTCAATCAGTCCAGTAAGCCTGGCTTTTTTTTTTTTTTTTAAGCAATTTGAGTTTTGCTCTACATTTTTTCTCTTGTTCTTTCCAGGACCTTCTATTATGTCCCTGGTCACAGCAGTGGGTAGTGGCTTATTTGCTTCTTAATTCTTAACAAAACTCGGTTATAACCACAGCATTATTTAGTATCATAAAACAATATTCAGTCAAGCCTGCAAAAGTTTGTTATATCTTCATACTTCAAACTCTGATCTGAGAAAACTATATATTAAAAGAAGGTAGTGTGTAGAATCAGGCCAAAGAAGGTCAGGTATTCTCAGAGGATGCCTTCTTCTGGATGGTTTAGAACAGTGAAAGGGAACTATGCCCAAATGATCAAGCACTCCTGTTTTGTCATTATTAGAGTTTCACATAGTTTACTTGAACCTGTAGTCCGTACTTGAAGTTTCCTTTTCTGTTTGTGTGATCCAGCCACTCCTCGGAAGGAAGACTGAGCAATCTCCTTCCGTAGTGATACTGTCTCGGCAACCCAAGGAGGGGTCACTATGAGTCGGGGCTGACTCAAAGGCACATAACAACAACAACAACAACAACAACAATCAACCTCATACTTTAAAAATTAGGAAAGCAGTCCTTTAGAGATGCCCTCTACTATCTGCTCATTCCTTAACATCCTTGGTGCTTGACAACAGGGCTCACCTTTTGCCCTTTCTAGTCTTACTTTTCTACCACACAGCTGTCAGTGTTTTGTACCGTTGTGGCTTGTGTGTTGCACTGACACAGGAAGTTATACCACCAGTATTTCAAATACCTTTAGGGTCAGCCATGGCAGGCAGGTTTTTGCAGAGCTTCCAAACTATGATGGACTGGGAAGAAGGACCTGGTGATCTATTTCTGAATAAAAATGACCAGTGAAAACCTTGTGGATAACAGGAGAACACTGTCTGATACTGTGCACAAAGATGAGCCCCTCAGGTGAGAAGGCACTCAGAATACAACTGGGGAAGAGCTGCCTCTTCAAAGTAGGCTCAGTCTTAACGATGTGGATGGGGGAAAGTTTTCAGGACCTTCATTTACTGTCGTGGCATGACTCAAACTGTGAAGAAACAGCTGCAAACGTTCATTAATAACAATATAGGACGTACAAAGAATGAATCTAGGAAATTGAATAACAAAAAAAAAAACTAAAAAGAATGCTTGAAAATATATATCCTAGGTGTTGCTGTTGTTGTTATGTGCCATCAAGTCGGACCCGACTTATAGCGACCCGTCCTTGGGTTTCTGAGGTGGTATCACTACAGAAGTACATTGCCCAACCTTCCTTCCAAGGAGTGGCTGGTGGGTGTGAACTGTCAGCCTTCTGGAGTCAAGTGGCTTAAGCACTACGCTACAGAGAGTGAAAAAGTACTGGAATTGACCATTTTGAATTGGACAGTCACATGATCTACTATGCTGGGAATGACAACTTGAAGAGGAATGGTGTCACATTTATTGTCAAAAAGAACATTTCAAGATCAATTTGAAGTACAACATTGTCAGTAATAGGATAATAGCAATATGCATACAAGGAAAACCTCTTAATATGACTATTATTCAAATTGACATACTGGCTACTAATGCCAACTGTTCTGGTTACCTAGTGCCACTCTGACAAGAATATACCACAAATGGGATAGCCTTAACAAACAGGAGTTTATTCTTTTACAGTCTGGGAGGCTAGAAGTCTGAGTTCAAAGTGCCAGGCTCTAGGGGCTGGATGAAAGCCCCTTGACCTTGGACTTCAGCTCTGCCTATTGCTACTGGCCTACTGAAGCCAGAGGCATCTCTTCACTCAGGCAGCTACTAGCTGCTGAGGCTAACAAACCCAAGGTCAACAAATAAAATGGCACAGTCCCCATGTTAACGAATCACATGGCAGGCCATTAATTCAAGTCCATTGTAACTCCCCAGGTCAGCAGAGCATGGCAGGCTGCATGCAGGGTCCACACGTGCCATAAGCTAGAGACTATCTTCAAGGCTTCTCCTTCTATACAGGAAACAGACCACATCTCAAAGGCAGCTACTCAGCTGCTTGTGGTAGATCCCACCATGGAGCTGATTGCCAGTCTCATCATGGGGAATAACTACCACCAGCTATCCAGCCACTCAACCAGGCCCAGCCAAGTTGACATACAAATTTAACTACCACACCAACGATGAAGAAACTGAAAGCTTTTTACCAACTTCTGCAGTTTGAAGTTGATCAAACATGCATCAAGATGCATTGATAATTACTAGTGATTGGAATGTGGAAGCTGGAAAAAAGAAGAAAGATCAGTAGTTGGAAAAAATAGTCTTGGTAGACTTTTGCAAGACCAATGACTTATTCATTGGAAAAACCTTTTTTCAACTACATAAATAGTAGCTATACACATGGATCCCACCAGATGGAATGCACAAGAATCAAATAGACTACATTTGCAGAAAGAGACGATGCAAAAGCTCAATATCATCAGTCAGAATAAGGCCAGAGGCTCACTGTGGAAAAGCCCATCAATTGCTCATATGCAAATTTGAGTTGAAACTGAAGAAAATGAAAACAAGTCCATAAGAGTCAAAGTATGACCTTGAATATATATCCCAATGATTTTAGAAATCATCTCAAGAAAAGATTTGATGC